CACACACACACACACATATAGAGGCATAATCCTGATTCTTAGTAATTTGTGGAAGAGCCTTAATTGCTGCCTGTCTTTGGCTCTGTGTTTGTCTAACAACAATTCACTGGTGCTGTGGCACAAAAGCACAGAAGCAGACATGAAAAATGTAATTTCATCATCGTCTCATCTCTTTTTATTCCCTGTCGGACCAACATTTCCATGATGCTTTCTTTACTGTGTCCTTGGTGTACATTTCACCTGTCCAGTCCGATGCTTTCTCACGTCTATGTTTCCTTTCATTTATTCCCTCTGTTCTCTACTTTGTCACACATCCGCAAAGGCAAAAAATCAGTAAAATATTAGCATGAGTAGGAATGCACAAACTAGTTGGGAGAAGAGAGCAATTCATCAAGAGATATGGTTAATTAATATGGCCTCAACGTCTGGACAGCTCCCAACTTTGAATTAATGTGAACTCAGTGAATTTCCAAAGACGGGTTACTTTTTAATTCAGGGCTCAGTGAGTGAATGACCTCAGCTAGCAGACTGGAGTGGAAAAAAACTAGTGAAGACGAAACTGAAGAGTTTGAGAAAACCAAATGCTTGCATTTACCCTTTATCCAAGCCACTTTTTGCCTTTATGTGATGTTGAAAGATGACAAATATGATGATAGTGATATGTTGATAATGCAGGTTCACCAATCCATCAGTCATGTGTTTATACATTTTTATCGATTTAGTTACAGGGGAAAGTAGCTGCAAAAATAAAACTAAATAAATAAGAATAAATAAATACATTACTTTTGTTCATTTTGTAGTGAAATAAAAGTTAAGTCTATATTTTCAATGACCTCAAAAGTAGGAGCCTATGAGGAGCCTTTGAAGGCAGCACAGCCTACACCCCCCGCCCTGAGGAAAACTCATGCAACCATGCATGAAACACACAACTGTAGAGTGGAAGGAAATAGAGGCGGGACGTCTCCGCCCTGAAAAGAAAGGAAAAAAAGAAAAAAACTTCTGGATGAAAGTCTCCAAGACGAGGAATGCGGTGTAGTTCGATTACCTGCCTGCCGAGGAGCCTATAGCCTATCTGCTTGTTGTGATTCGGAAAATAAAGCATCCCTATGAAAGACAAAACGACCGCTTTGACGTGTAAGTAGTCTGCATGTTGGTTTGGAAGACCCAGAGATGGGTTTCTCCAATCGACAGATATCTGTATGATATTCCTTTAATAGCGCTGTAGAAAACTGCAGATCGATAATAATATGATTGTGGGACGTAATGCCATGTCTGCGTTTACCAGCATATTGTGATATTTATAGTTTCTCTTGTAAAGCTAAAGCTCCCAGCCAACTTTCTGTGTGTGTGTGTGTGTGTGTGTCTGTGGTGGGGAAGAAAGCATTGGCAGACATACTTGGGGGGCGCTCCATTCACCCTATAACATAATCCAGTGACCTGGATTTATGATGCCGTTATCTATGGAAACTCCTGGCTGATAGGGGGTCTGTTAAAAGTGCCAGCGACAGCTTGGCAACTCTACTTTTGCAACTTGTTGAACTCTTGCGCTGCAGGCAGCAAAATGAGAGCTCCTTCAGATCTCAAAGGTTTGTTTGTTTTCTATGGAAACTGTGTCTGATGTGGGGTTTTTTGGATGTAGAACAGGCAATTAAGACACGTGAAATTATACAGCTTTTTGTGTTTTTACGCAAGACTTATTAAATGACTTGTAATTGTTTGTATTGTGCAGTAAAGTTGCCGTTGATTACTTACATTGTTACATCTTGGGTTTGTTTCTATACGCTGTTAAAACAAAAACAAAACTGCTGTACTTAAATTTGGATTAGTCTGTATGTTTCCCTTTTTATGCACCGTGATCGATATGCAAAATCAGTTGAGTTTGGCCTTCATAGGTGATAGTCTTGCATAATTTCATTCCACTCAGGGGTGTAGGTAAAACTTGAACCAGGTGACTTACATAACTGTGCCTGACTGAGCCTGTCTGTGTGCCAGCGCACGAAACGCAGCGCAAACTGGCATTTGTTTCCCTCATTATTTCATTCTGATCACCACAATGAAGTGTTTTGGTCGCTTCCGAGAGGTTTACCGGTAGGTTAAAACAGAGTGTGGGTCTGATCTCTTTCTGCCTTTTTTTCCCCCCCGTCTGAGCTGGAAGTATTCAGGAGTTTCTCCGTCTGTACTTTTCCACTACCAGCGGCTTTTTTCTTGGCACGGGGCCTCCCTCGGCTCAGGCTCTCCCTCTCGTCTTTTGTACACCGAGGGAACCTGCGTCACTCCCGGCCGTTTTAATTGAGAAGCAGCCAAACAGTGAAGCTGATAGGCCCAGTTGAGAGGCTATCAGATTATTTGTACAGGACCAAGCTGCAAAACGGGGGGGTGGGGGGGTTAGATGGGGGGCAAGGGTACACTGTTTCAACAAGGATCTTGGAGACTAATCCCGAATCTCAAGAACTCTCTTGAGCAGTTTCACCTCATGTTCGCCTATGTATTCAATCTGGCGTTCATTCTGCACCCCTGGAACATTAAATGGCACCATATGCTTCTCAGTGGACACATCTGGATGTCATTAGCCTATAGGATTTGGTTTTTTGCGCTGACGTGCTGCTGTTCTCCTGTGACACATGGGATGTTAAGCAAAGTTGCTATGGTGTTGCACAAACATGTGTGCAAATAGTGAGTGGTGGTAAAGAACTTTTTTTCTTCCTTTTTTCTGATGTTTTTGACGCAAGCGCATTTTGAGGCGCGGCTATGACGCGTTGGGAGCGCAACGGCCTCTGATTGGTCGAGAACGGGATCGATCGTCTTCTCACGCTCCACTTAGCAGAATGAGATGTTTGCACAGGATCACGCCCACCAGGGGGTGTGGGTGTGTGTGTGGGGCAGCTCCTCCCTCCCTGCCTCCCTCCCTCCCTCCTCCTCGGCCTGTTATAAAACAAGAGCCAAAAGCAAGGTAGATTATATTTTGCGTTTGGGCAGTTGATGAGTGCAGAGCTACAGTTCAACTCATCACATCATGACGATCAAAACAGAAACAGAACAGCCTGTCCTGACTTACTCGAAATCTAGAGGACTAGTGGCATTAGTCACCGGTATGGAATCATGGCTGGATATTTTTAAGCTGATTCTTCATGACATGGATGGACATGTTTTTGCTTTTTATTTCAAAATCTAAACTTTATTTTTGGTTTTTCTCTCTCATTGCAGCTTTTATGAAACAGAGGAAGATGGGGCTGAACGACTTCATTCAGAGGCTTGCCACAAACTCCTACGCCTGCAAGCAGTGAGTACCATCTGACTCATGTTATTGTTCTGAATTCACTGGAGGACAAAACATTGGGCAACACAACCAGAAATGCCAGTTATCTGTCCTCTGGGGAAACTTTGTGACTCCCATGATCAACTGGTTCACATAAAATAATGCAAACATGCTTTGTTATTAGATTAACTAAGTTTGAACTCTTTGTGTTTTTCAGTCCTGACGTTCAGTCTATTCTGAACTTGAGTCCCCCTCAGGATGCTGAGCTCATGAATGCAAACCCCTCTCCTCCTGTAAGTACATTTGCATTCAACTTCCTTTGTTTACATTGTGCCATATGCAGGGATACGCACACACCTTCTGTTTACATGTTTACTGTCCATTTTGTGGCTCATACCACGGCTCTAACTCCCTTTCTCCCTTGCTCCCCCTCTCACAGCCCAGTCCATCCCAACAGATAAACCTTGGTCCGTCCTCAAACCCATCGGCCAAACCAAGTGACTTCCACTTCCTCAAGGTGATCGGCAAGGGCAGCTTCGGCAAGGTGCTGCTCGCACGCCATCGTACAGATGACCAGTTTTACGCAGTCAAAGTCTTACAGAAAAAGGCCATCCTCAAGAAGAAGGAGGTAAATGCACTTCACTTCACTACAGAGTCAGGTTTCTTGCAGGAGGTTGTGTTTTGGTGCATAACAATACACATAGTGAGCAGAAAATATAAAGAAAGTATGGAAACACATGCAGACGTGCCTTCAATTAGAAAAAAACGAAAGTACACAACAAAAGGGGTCTTCTCGTCAACCTCGCTAAACCCCTGCTCTTTGTATTCCTCAGGAGAAACACATCATGTCAGAGAGGAATGTGCTGCTAAAGAATGTCAAGCACCCGTTCTTGGTGGGCCTGCACTACTCTTTCCAAACAGCGGACAAGCTCTACTTCATCTTGGACTACATCAACGGAGGAGAGGTGAGTTACTGGCTGGGATTTGAAGCAGAGATGATTGAGGAGAAGGGAGCAGCTGGGCTATTTAAAGAAGGAGCTAAAGATGAATGAATAGGGTAGGATGGAATTTTAAAGATGGATATAGTTGGAGGAAGGAGGGAAGAGACAGACGTTTTTTTAGAGGATTTATTATAGCGCCAGAATCAGAGATAAAGACGAGGCAGAAACACAGACAGACAGAGGGGATATCCTGTCATGAGAAGCAAAGCAGAAGCTGCCGCTCTCCTTCTTTTTTTCTGTCTTTATTTCTCTAAAGGAAACACCTCTCAGGAAATCACGGGGTGGGCTGGGACAGCAGGAGAGACTCGGGGGCCAAATTTAGCAGCGCCATTCAGACTCAGTGTGTGTCTAATCGAGCTAATTTCCTGTGATTGTTGGACGAGCAAAGACAGTGCTGATTAAATATGGGCCTCATGAGGAAACAGGATGCATTTACTCTCCTTCTCCCCTTTCTCTTTTCTTCCCCTCTTTTTCCCTCATTCCCGCTGATCTCTCACTCCACCTTTAGCCCTCATTTCATCTGTCTTCTCTTGTCAAACTTTTTAAGTTCTCGCCTTCCTGCCTCTTATTTCCTCCCATCCGGTTTCCTTTCTGTCTCTGTATCTGCCTTTTTACTGTCTGCCTTTCTCCTTCTAATTTCCTACCTCTGCTCATGGGATTTTGTAGATATTAAATGACATAATCAAGATATTAAATGTTTTGTTACTTTTTTGCAATAACATTTGTTCTGTTTTTTCCTTGTTTTCGCCCTCTTCCAGTTGTTCTACCATCTACAGAGAGAGCGCTGCTTCCTCGAGCCAAGAGCCAGGTTCTACGCGGCAGAGATCGCCAGTGCTCTGGGCTACCTCCACTCCCTCAACATTGTCTACAGAGACCTGAAGCCAGAGAACATCCTGCTGGACTCACAGGGACACATCATTCTTACAGATTTCGGCCTGTGCAAGGAGAACATCGAACCCAAAGGGACCACGTCGACCTTCTGCGGTACGCCAGAGGTAAGGACACAATACCCGCTGATTCAGAACTCCCTTTGACAGCTCTCTGTAATATTCAGTGACTTACGTCTTCTCCTCATCTTTCTCTCTTTAAAGTATTTAGCTCCTGAGGTTCTACACAAGCAGCCGTATGACAGAACGGTAGACTGGTGGTGTTTAGGAGCTGTTCTCTATGAGATGCTCTATGGCCTGGTGAGTAACATTCACTTTCACCTGACATCATTGTATAGTAAATATACATATATTTTATATATTATATAATATATTGTTGAATGCTACTATGCTTTTGTTATACTGTCCACTGTGAATAGCAAAGATAGAATTCTTATCTCAGTTGTGCACCATGTGTTTGTACCTGAATCTATGCATGATTTCAAATGATACTATCAGTGTTGGTCATGTGGATTTCTTGCTCCTTGTTGTTGCCAAGATGTTAATCAGCTCTTTTTTTGTCCCTCCCCAGCCTCCGTTCTACAGCCGTAACACAGCAGAGATGTATGACAACATCCTCAACAAGCCGCTGCAGCTGAAACCTAACATTTCCAACGCAGCCAGACACCTGCTGGAGGGCCTGCTGCAGAAGGACCAAACCAAGAGGCTGGGCTGCGCAGAGGACTTTGTAAGTGTTTGGTCGTATGATCGTATGTGTGTATCTGTATGCGTATTGCCACCTTGTGTGTGTTAAAGGACATCATTTAATTATTCTTCATTTGTGTCTCTTCACAGATTGAAATTAAGAACCACATATTTTTCTCCCCCATCAACTGGGATGACCTCAATGCCAAGAAGATCACCCCTCCATTCAACCCCAACGTGGTATGTTCCTTTTTGATTCTACAATAAGTGCTGATGATGGATATAGTATATAGTATAGTAGCAAAAGTCCACAAAGACAGGATTTACATTTACATAACTAGATCAAGAGCATGGAACATCCTCCCTATGAATTAAAACATTTCCAATTATGGAAAAGCTATTTTGACTATTACAGCTTGACTAATCTCTGCTTGTCTCCCCTCTCCTTCCCTCCTTCCTCCAGACGGGACCCAATGACCTGCGGCATTTTGATCCAGAGTTCACAGATGAGCCGGTGCCTAGCTCCATTGGCTGTTCCCCAGACAGCGCGCTCGTCACGGCCAGCATCAAAGAGGCTGCCGAGGCCTTTGTGGGCTTCTCTTACGCCCCATCTATGGACTCCTACCTATAGGATTTAAACACAGGCACTCAATACGGATTGAACCAATTCAATCTTACAGGAAATGAGCCGTGGCGTGTCCATGGACTTGCATCTTGACCCCACCTTACGTTTCCTATCAGGGTGATGGATTTTTCTAAAGCCAACCCCTGCAACAACTCTGCATCTGCAAAGAATTTATACACGTGTACTTGCCATAATCTCTCCAACTCTTGAATGCATTTAAGAAGACTTGAGGATGCCATAATGAAATGACTGATTGGAGTTGAAATCCACCATCTTACTCTGATGTACCAACGCACAAATTCTTCAACCTTCCACAACAGACACAAACGCGTTGCAGCCTTTAATTTCCCATCTCTTACCCGGTAGTGGAGGTCATTTGCACATAGCTCAGGCAGCTTAAAAGCCCACCTCGACCCTAAAGCCACAACTGACAAGCACACACACCAACTTCCATCTTTTCTCCAAAGAGGAAGGCTGGACCGTACTGTACCAGTCCTGAAAGGGATTTTCATCTTCTTCTATGTAGCCAAACATCTTCCCCCCTTCCTTTTGAGATTCTGTCCAACCACCCACGGGGGCCCTACCTGTTGAGTTTGACTGAGTAGCTTGGAGATGACATTCATTTTGGTGCTTTAGTTTCTTCTCATCTACTTTCCATGTGTTTGAAAAAGGGAGTTATTTTAAGCTGAATGTTACAGAGAGGGAGGTTTTATTTTTTCTCTCAAATGTGCCTTTATTTTTTTCTCTCCATCAGAACTCTTTTGGGTTTTGTCTGTGTCAACCTTAATGTCTCCACTCCACACCTGACTGCAGGTGGGAGGAGCTGTTTTTTGAAGTCACCAGAGAGGAACGATGTAGCTCTGAATTAATACACCTGTCTTTAACGTGTGAGACGTAGGAACTCAAACGATGTTTTATATCTTCATTTGCACATAAAACGATAATGGTAATGCTGGTCGAGAGAGAGAAAGAGAGAGCACTGCTGCTAGGTGAGAAAGAGAGTGATGTGTTCAGAAGTGTTTGTGTAGTTCTGCTTGCCAACCGTGTCCCCCTCACGTAGTCTTCCATTTGCCTCACAATAATGTAACGGCGGCCTTCAGCCGAGCTGACGACATCGGAACTGAACATTCCATTTTAATATTGCTGTAATGCAGTTTGATGGTATTTAAGTTTGTTTGTATATTTGGAGTCATGTGTACTAGTTTTAATGTATATTGAACAAAAAATGACTAAAGGTATGCTTAAATATGTATATGTAACAATTCATGTTAAATGTACTGTAAATTGTAAAATTGTTTAAGATTTATGTGACCATGTTTGGTTTGCAATAAAAGTTTAACTTTATTACACCTTATAACTGTGTTTTTGATCATTTATAAATGGACTACATGTACATGAAAGGGCTTAATTTTATTAGTTTTTCTTTTGTCTTAAATATGCACATTTTTTTTGTTTTTACATAATCTTGTCTAGACATTGCCAGTGTATCAGTGGCCACAGAAAAAAAGCACACAAAGTTAGATAATAAACTAAAAATGTAAAGAATGAAGATCAAATGGTAATCATTTACTAGTCCTGGTTGAAAGGGGTTTGAGCTACTGACCATTTCCATTATACAATGTCCCACATTAGTGTAGAGTGGACTTTACCCTGGTACATGCGTCAGCAACGATGATGGTGACGTCCAATTGTGTGTGTGGACTGGATCTGTTTGCAGGCAAATTATTGATTGATAAGGCTATTGCAGGTCAAACGATATTAATGAACCCAATTCATCTCAGCAGCTCTATATTGCACAAGAGGAGCATTGATTTTGATACAAAAGCAACATGGATGATAATTAAAGCAGGAATGACATACATTGTGTTCTATAAGATTACAGCTGGGTGGTGTGTTGATGAGGGAGAATGTCCTTCTACTGGAGTTCAAGGTTGTGTCCATGGTTAATTGAGTCTGCTGGGGTGTCTTTAAGGAGGACACTGAATGTCTAACAGATCCAGGGGGTTATTGTGTGGGTGACCTCTGTCCTCTAGCTTCCAGGGAAGAAGGTAAAGTGAAAAAGAATTTTGCAGCCACAAAGATTTACATTATAAGACGACTGCAGGGAAGGTGTCCGTGGAAACCCATAAACGTTTTAACTTTCTGGACTTGTCTAGCCAATGGTTTGTTGGTCTGAGAAGTTCCTTTAAAATGTCCTCACAAGGTTAATCAACAGAAATATAATTGGGGAAATTATTCATTACTTTTTAAAGCCTCTACAAAGTGTTCTTCAGAAAGAGAAAATCCTGATAACCTCTTTTGGAGCTGCTATTTATCTAAAATGAATGAAAAACCTGCATGTGTTATATGTGAGACAGACATTAAAATCTGCTCTTTGTGTCTATGCATGGTTATTACTTACATTTAACTACTGCCATAGTAGTTTTTACCATCATCATCTTCCTCATTATAGTCCACTAGTCTTAGCTTATGGAGAGGGTAAACACAGTTACTTGCTGCTGCCCAGGGTGCCCTATAGCTCACCTGCTAGAGCTGGTCCCCCATGTACCAGGACTGAGTCCGAACTGCAGCGCCCATGGGTTTGAGCCCAACCTTTGCTGTGTGTCATCCTCTCTCTTTTTCCCTCCTTTCCTGTCAATCTTTAGCTGTCCTATCCAATTAAATCCAAAAATGTATAAATAAAATTAATTGCTGGTTGCCCGCATAATGTACAGGTATAGAAAATGTGGTCACAGTGTGGAATATTTTGGATATTATCAAAATACAGTGTGAACGTGAATTGGGCTTGAAGATGCACTACAATTTCTCCAGTTCTGCTCAGTAGCCACAGAAACACACTGCCATCTGCTGGATAAGCCTTGAACTGAAAGTGGAGGCAGAGACGGGGGAGACAAGAAGCATGGAGCAGATAAATCCATGACAGTAAAGCTTTCATTGTGACTGAGAATTAAAGGCTTTCATCACGAAGTGACATTACTGCCATTTTATCATTCTTTATGATATACAAAGTAAATAAATACATATTTTCTTTGCTGTGTAAAATACAGTAATATGTTGTTGAATGTTATATGTGACTTTATGGTCTGAATGGTCTTTCTGAGCCACTAATTCCCTGGAAGTCGATCACATGGGAGATGCAGCCTACCCACTTATTCTTATTCAAGAATTCTTATTCAAGAATAAGTGGGTGGGCTTATTCAGCCTACCCACTCTGATATTGCCATTATTGATCTTGGCAGTTTTGTCAGCCAAGATCAATAATGCCAAGTTTGGATGATGATAATAATGATCAAGTTGGGGATGCTGGTGCAACTGCTAAGCATGTAGCAGAAGTAGCAGAGGATCTACGGACTGGAGGATCCAAGAGGAAGTCTAGAGAGGACAATAAAGGTGAGGAGAGTAAACATTTCCGGTGGAGGGATGAGTTTTCTGCAAGTAACTCTGGAGAGGACTCCCTGCGTAGAAGCTCCTGCAAGTGGGTAAGCTATTAGGATGAGGTTGATAAGAGAAGCGAATTCAAATGGTGTTTGTTGATGATGACAGATACTTACAGACTGACACTGACAGCAACCATATAAGATCCCTTTTACTCTGTTTGCTGACCAGTCCAATTAATTTAATGCGGGCACTGTAGAGCTCTCAGACATTTTAAAATAGAGATAACATTTTATTTGTTGCTTTTTGTCAAACCAGAGTTTGACAGTATTAGAAACTAAGGTATGACAGCATTTTTACAGATTAGTCAAATTCAATTTAATTTAAAAAAAAAAGTGATCACGTTCCAAGACACAAGACATTGAAGCCTAGGAACAATGGCAAAACATCTGTCTTCAAAGGCACGTAAGAAGAATTTGCAAGTTTATAAGGCACATTTAGAGAGTCTGTGGTCGTATTGATATTTACTAAGGCATATAATTATGGGATTTGACTGTTGTATGGGAAAATTATGCAATTTCTTCCCATATATTTAGTCTTATTGCTTTTTAAACATTATTTTATGAGTTTTCTGTTCCTTATTTAAGATTAGCCATTAGTCATTTATTTAGGCCTCATGTAATCCGGCTGTATACTGCTGTATCATACTGGCCTTTTTCATAACTCAATCTGCACACCTCTACAGAATTGAGTCTTCGCCACATGACAACCAGCAGTTTGAGTATATATATATATATATATATATGGAGCTTCTGCCCCCACTAGCAATACAGCCTAATGATGACAGTGTTGGTGTTGCTATGATTATACTGTGACATTTGCCTTTATGGTGGCTGGAGTCACTACAGCACTCTGACATTTTCTATAACCATTTCCATTAGGCTATAGAGCAGGCAGCCAAAACACGAAAAGATGCAATCACAGAGTCCATTCTCAGTGACAAATGCAACGAAATAAAACAAATTACACAGGCTCAAGGAAATGTGGGGTTTTTCCTGTTTTTTTTTTTGTAAAGATGTTGTGTTTGACTGTGAAGGACAGAAGAATCTATATAAAGAAAAAATACATTTGAATGAAATATATGACAAATGAGGTGTCTCTTGTATGACCACAGTTAATTACTATTACATACTAATTAATAACATATAAATTAAATAAACATTTTCTAAACCTTTATTTATTTTGGTGGTGAATCAGGTTCCTTGGTTCTTATACTATTACATCACTCGATGTAGGGAAACAGTAGTTCCACATGCTTGCACTGTTTCCCTTCCCTTCATCATAAAAACCTGATTCTGTATGACCGTTATCACTGGATCATCATTTAATCACAGCATTTGAAGCATTGAACTATCAGAACCCATCCTGATGATCAACACTTGTTAGGTCCATAGTGAATTTAGTGATATTAATTACTTTTCAATAGATTTAAGACTGGTAGTGGAAAATGTGAGGTACTTTATTGTATGAATCTTGTCTTGATTGTAATTCTTTGTTGCATTACTTGCAGTTTCTGAAATTTGATCGTGTGGGAATTACAGCATATGACATCTGACTAAATCAGAAGTTACTCAACACAAAAAATAAAACACCTTCTTATTCTTGGGAACTTCACTTTTGAATATTTGGATTTTTGCCATTACCTGGTTAGGGCTAGTTTTAGTAACTACAAGATATGACATTCCAGTGATTTTCCAATGAATTTTACTTGATACTCAGTGTGTGTTTAAGAGTAAAAGGAAGGTGGAAATGCCTTGTGTATGTGATCGTGTGAATTCAAGCAAAGCATGTGGGTATGCATCTGTATTTGTTGCATGCATGTGCATGTGGCCGTAGATGTGTATTTCAAGAAGGACATTTTTGGGTGATTTGTTGTGTTATACTGTATGTGAACTCCATATGTCATTTAGAGTAATGAACCCTTTCATCTAATAAAATGGTCAAGAATTAAAACAACTTCCAGTGCCAGAATGTAGTTAAGCACATTTACTCAAGCACTGCACCTCAGGTACTTTACATGAGTATTAACATTTTCTACTACTTTATATTTCTACTCCATTACATTTCAGAGGGAAATTTTGTACTTTTTATTCTACTAAATGTATTTTCCAGTTACAAGTAACTTTGCAGATCAACATACAAACATTACATTACTTTACAAAATGTCATGCACAGATTAAACATTATTCAAAGTAATTTGAATTAGCTTAAACTCGCACAGCTACAGCATTAAAATGTTTCTTCCAATTTATGAATAAGCACTCCAATTACATAATATAGTGTATATAATAACATTCTGTTGCATAATGAGTATTTAAGTTGTAATATATCAAACAGAATTTACTATTTATTTTTGCACCCCTAGTATGGTTTTGAATACAGGACTTGTACATATAATGGAGTATTTACTAGTAAACAATCTAACTACTTCTTCCACAACTGCCTACTTCAAATTAAAACAAACCTAATCATTAGTTAGTGTCTATTTGCACGAACCAACATTATGGGTTAGGGTTAGGGTTAGGGTGTGAGTGTGTCTGCTGTTCATATTGTCATTACTTTCCAGCTGGGTGAATAAAACGTCCTCTCTAATAAAACTGTGTCATTTCAGGGAGCTGTCAGAATATAAGCATATGACTGTGGAATTAAGGAAGAGAAACCTTACCAACACAAAGCAATTTGTTTGATGTGTCACGTGATTGTGTTTTGGTTTGTTACAATTACACATATTGTGTTTAAGCCCCAGGACTAAATCTAGATAAGAAATCTGGGACTCACCAAATGATAACAGCTAATAATCACATGATCATTTGCTGACATGGTAAACACCATGCAATCTCCAACAACCAGGCCACCCATAGCTAGTTTTCTTGGTTAGTGAGGTATTACATAACACACACACACACACACACACACAAACACTGAGGATCAAATGACAGTAGTTAAAAACAGGTCAAACTTTGGATTCTATAGGCCATGTTTGAACATCTAAATACATCTCCGGCAAAGTAGGCCAATCACTAACAGGCACATAAGGCTACATTCAGTCATCTGTGAGGCAGCAGGGCAGGTGTGACAGTTCAGTGCTGCTGCATTCATAGAAATGGGACATGGGAACCGAGCAAAACAGCAGGTGGCCTCTCCCGTTTGTTTTCACATGCAGTATGAGAGAAAGAGCATTATTGATACAGGTGTATTTTATTGCTGGTTTCTTTATAGTGACAAAGTAACTTCATCATAACCTCAAATTGCAACTGGAAGTTATACAAAAAAACACAGAGGAAGGTAAGATAGTTAAGATTTTAATATTTTTTTTATACCGTACTACAATAAATAAATATTAGCCCACATGAATACATTGTTTCACGATAAATACAATAGGCTATATGAGCTACCACTTTTGGACCAATAGGATTTTACGCTGGGCGCTAGAGGCCGAGCTCGCGTTTTCTATTGGTGGTCTGAGCAGACTTGGGCGGAGCTAAACAAGTGCTTCACCAAAACAAGTTGCGTGCGTGCACCGACACGAGCATGAAGAGAGGAGTTGGGAGAGAAGTGTGCAGGAGAAAGCGAATGGACCGACCAACGCGAATCTAAGCTAACCTACGGAGACACCGCTGGGGCGTCAGGTAGGGCAGTGTCACTGCGTACAGCTGTTAGTGACACTTAAATACTCGTCTACTGAAACTTTTCATGTGGCGAAACCAGCTTTAAGTTGCACGTAAGTTAAATAGTGGACAAGCCCGTACTTGAAGTTATTGTGTTTGAGAGAAGCTGCTAACTTTGGCTTTAGACGTTATTTGCTTGGTGGTCTTTGGGTTGTAAGCCTTTCACAAACTGACCTTGCAACATTTCAAGGAGGGCTTTCAAGACAAAAAAAAAGAGAGAAAAAAACCACATAATTGTAGGAAAGTGCACTTAGCTGAGGAAAAGTCTCCCAAACCATTTCCATACGCCAAAGATAAGCAACCTTTAAGTACTTAAAAATGAAAACCTCTGTATCACAGAGCCAACTGCAGCTGTCCACTCTGAGCTTCACGCTGCCGGTATTTATGACTGGGCTTTTATTTGGAAGCTTGTTCGTATCCAGGGACACCAAAAGGCATCAATTGGTTTACTTTTAACCCAGGACTGCACAGAGAACAATAAAAAGGGGGACTGGTGTGATCATTTAAAATGTCAGCCCCTTTTTCCTGCACAAGGATCGGTTTATGCTGTATTTTGAAAGTAAACTATGCCTCAGCTGTTGGGTATGGTGGTTAGTCTTCGTTTAATGTGTTAAGCTGATGATATAGTTTATGAAGCCATCATAGGGGCATAATTAGGCCTGTTTTTCCTGAATCAAAGGTGAGTAGCACACTCATGTTTGTTTATTAAGGATATGTACACTGCACAAGGATAAACTAAACTTTTGCCATGTTTATGGCTGAGTATCAAACCGCGGTACTTCTTTGGTATCAAGCAAAAAGTGTCAATATTGCCAAGTATAGAAGGTTGCCATGTACCAAGAGCTGGAATCAAATGTCTGGTCAGATTTGTAATCTTGTTTACTTGTTTTGATCAGATAATTCTTGCAGATTTTTACACTACGTTATGTTTTAGGCAAAGTTCTTTTAATTATCGGTGCACCAATTAACATTTGAGAACTTGTTAAACAAAAAAAAAGAAAAGGGTTTTGTAGAAAGAATATGTTCATATTTCTCAACGTGAGGTAGAATTTTGCCATACTTTTAGAATTTTGGTATCAATACTCACTATTAATGAAAGCTTGAAAACAACACTCAGATCTATCAGTAAGATACAAGTTAGATTTCCATCTGCTTCAGAGAAGTGGGGCGTTTCCCTCTTGAAGAGTCCATTAACACACACATCAGGACCCTTACGGCAGCTTTTCAAGAAGACTTTATTTAAATTGTAAATTGTCCTACTTGGTACGCTTATTCCTTTATGTCAGGGAAGTATTTCAACATCAGGTGTGTGTTTGTGCAAAGCGAGAAGGATCCGTTTGATGTTTTCATGTTTATTTTATTCATGCTTATTTTGCCTAGGCCTACTGTTAGAGGTGGTTGACGATGGAGGCCAACAGTGAAACCAAGAAGATGACCTCTTGCCTCTCGGGGAACCCCTGCTCTGAGACCCAGAAACTGACCCCATCCAGAGGCCCAGGTACACACAGACACCGGTAACATTCTTTTACCCATAGGGGTGTCAGTGTTATGGTAGAGCTTACTTAATACTTAATTTAGATGTGAGGGTTTATCTGCCTAACTCAGGTACAAATGAGCTCCTCCCTTTAGTTTACATTCCCTGGCTTCCACCATTAAGCCTCCATAAACACTTGAGTTAAACAAAGCATAAGTTCCAAGAAGCATTTTAATTGAGTTATATAGATAACTTTCCAAGTAATAGCCCATCTCAGATATGGAATTTGGACTGCTCTGGGTTTTGCTCAGGTAACTCAGTAAACCTGCTTCTTGGAATAGGTGTATGAACTCTGATTAGCTAAAATAAAAAGTGTAATTTGTTGTATGTTCATCCTCTTCATGACTGCTTGCTCAGACACTTATTAACACTGATGATGAAGCCAAAAGTTGTTTATGACTTTGTGTCCCAGGTCACTCTGACCATGGTGGCGTGACATGCACTCATTACTAACTACGCGCCTGTGAATCTTAAAAAACAAACATTCAGATGATCAATTACTAATTACCTTTAGACTTTATTTTCGGTATGACTTCAGACTTAATTGATGTTGTGAATGTGGATAGTTAGAACCTGACAAATTATGACAAACAAAACAACATTTCCCAATAGAAAAATCTCCACCCATGCGAAATGAGGTAAATGTTTTAAGGTACACCAACGCATGGTATAAAACAGTACAGTGTAGTTGTACGAAGGTCCCGACTTGTAGCGAAGAAGAAGCGATGTGACTGTAAAGCCTCAAGTTACCTTAAACATTAGATTAGTTATCCTAATCATTGTCACACGGTAAAACACAAGTATCAGATCGATAGTCCTTGTGAGCCAGGTATCAAAGGTAGAAAAGGGTTTAGGTATCAGAATGGGTATAGGGAGTTAAATATTAGGATATAACACGTTTATTACCAGAGTGTTATACAGCTATATAAAACTCATTTTAAATGTTTCAGAAAAGAAACCTAAAACACTGTAGGTAAAAGACTTATTACAAGAGAGTACAGTCTAACATTAATACTATAATCCCATTATTAGATAATGTCACTTATGGGAAAGGATTGTGGGGTGGTGCAGTCTCTATAGACCTTATAGGACCCTGCAGTTTGCAGCTGTGTCACTGTTTTTCTTAAATGTTGCACCATGATAATTAAATTGGAACAAAAAGAAAAAGGTCTTACTAGCATGATTATTAAAACAGTTGCAGTTATATACATTAACATGTGAGTCTACAAGCTATTATGACAACAGACTCAGCTGGTTTGAACAATAATTCAGTTACAGTGTCCTTTAGTCAAACCTTTTAAAGGAAAAATGCACATTGAAGTCAACGGCAATGCTTCAGCAGTATAACAAAACAATAGCAAAGATCCGTGACGATGAAGTTCATGGCGGCCCATATATAATCATGATTTGAACTGAGTTTGAAAAATACGTATGTAAATAGTGTCGATGTATGCATGCTTAGCTCATCAGTTTTTTATTTGTTCCTTTCCTATCTGTCCAGTTGTAATGATAACGGTTGTCTGTTAACTAATGCAAGACAACGCACGTAGGTTTAAACTCCTCACACACACACACACACACACACACACAATGCCTAAGATTGCTTCAGCATTCTTCTTGTGAACTTCCGACCTCTAATTCCACACAGTCAGCGCTGTTAAGGTGACTTCATGGTTGGGGGAAACCTCTAGGGATAAAAGTGGTGGTCCTGCCAAAAGTTATGGCACACATTCCTTGAAATATGTTGTGTCAGTGACAACCTTTCTCCTCCCAGTGTGGAAAGTGGAATGGCCATTTCCTCATGTACTACTAACTGCTTCCTGCTTTTTACTCCAAACACTGAATCTATCTCATGATGGGTGATTTCAATTCCTTAACTTCTACTTTAAACTATTTTCCTTAACTGAAACTTTGTTACTTGAGTTCCTGCACTATGACATGGGATGGGATTTTGGTCAGCTGGTCATGCTCTTAACCTGATTACAGCAACTTCACATGAGCCGTTCTGCTGCTTTCAAACTGTAGCTGTAAACATAGAGCACAGTACTTGTTTGATGACCAAAATGAACAAATGGTTGTATTGTTGGCCCCACTCCAAGGAGGTTATAGTGTAGGATCAGCTACATGACATAATAACCCTGTTAGATCTGAAAGAGGTTCAGTATCTTGCTCTTTAACGCCTCATGACTTCACCGCTGCCCCACTGGCAATAAAAGTTTTGTCTTATAAATTTACTGGGCAAAGCCATGTTTGAGCATGACACTGGCTAACCTTGTGCCCATTGCTGAGTATATATTTTTGTGGTGGTGTGTTGGTTTATCAGTTCACTAATACGGTTAATTTAGTTCTAGCATTTAATGTTTCTTGGATATTCTTACTTACAACAGAAACTCATGAGTTACTTGATTTTAGGCCTGCCTGAAAGTCTGGCCATGTCTACCAAATGAAAGGGACAACACAGTTTTCCATATTGAGACTATACAGGTTTCAAACCATTAAAACATGAGCAGAGCAAATTCCTAACTAGGAAGAAAATGCGCTCAACAAGCTCACCAGGCTGTAAAGATACACAAGCTACAGCACAATGCATTCGGGTAAACCCTTGACGCACACAAGACAAACAAAGAAATTGTATGTCGGGTAGACCACTCGAAGCCCTGAACCTTATCATCTTTACCGATATCACCTGCATGATCATCATAAGCCTGAAATGGGCAGGTGCAAAGGCTCCAAACGCTGCGTGAGGAATGGGACAGCACTCTGTAAAATCATGTTAACAGTAATTTGTGTGGTCATTTGAATGTAATTTTAACTTTTAGGTTTAATATGTACCTTAAGCTGTGCCCATTCTAAATATAATAATAGCCTATATATACAAAATGATACACCGTCATGTCTTCATAGGACAAAACTAGGCAGTTGCTTTGAACATGTCAACTAGTCAAGGCCTTTGGTTTAATAGCAGTTAATAGTATATTCTCTGTGTTTCTGTCCCTGTCTCCAGGCTGCAGCTGGCTGGTGGTGGTAGCGGCTGTGGCGGCCTCTCTGAGTGGCCTGATGCTGGGCTATGAAATGGGCCTGACCTCTGGAGTCCTGCTGCAGCTGCGGGGTCTCCTGTCCCTCTCCTGCCGGCAACAGGAACTGCTGGTCAGCTCCCACCTGGTCGGCGCTCTCCTCATCTGCCTGGTTGGAGGTCCCATTCTGGATCGCTACGGCCGCCGCTGCTCTTTGCTCCTGAGCGCTGCCCTGGTGGTCGGAGGGAGCGTCGTGCTCGTCGCCGCCACCTCACTCGTTGTACTAACACTGGGCCGGGTGATAGTGGGAATGGGAACGGCGCTTTCGGGGACAGGAGCGTGCCTTTACATCGCGGAGATCTCGCCGAGGGAGAGGCGGGGTCTGCTTGTGACGCTGTACGAGCTGATGTTGGTTGTGGGTGTAATGCTGGGATTCAGCTGCAGCTACGCCTTCGCTACTCTGCCCCACGGCTGGGCATATACGTTTGGACTAGTAATCCCTCCGGCGCTGCTGCAGTTAAGTGTACTCATATTTCTCCCACCCAGTCCACGCTTCCTGGTTGCACAGGGTAGAGTGGAGCAGGCCAGGATAGTGCTGGCCAGACTGAGAGGTGGGGTTCAGGAGCATGTGGAAGTGGAGCTCAGAGACATCCAGGCAGGACTTAAAGAGGAATCAGAGCATAGTTTCTTGGAACTCTTCAGTGTCAAAGCTAACTTGCGTTCACGGCTGCTAACAGGCGTGGCCTTAGTCTTCCTTCAGCAGGTTACCGGGCAGCCCAACATCCTGTCCTACGCTTCCCCCCTTCTCCGCAGTGTCGGCTTCAACAGCGACGCCGCAGCGACCCTGGCCTCCACAGGGTTCGGAGTAGTCAAAGTAGTCGGCACCATCCCGGCAGTGTTGCTGGTCGACCGAGTGGGACCCAAGAGCTTTTTGTGCGTGGGTGCTGTCGCAATGGGATTGTCTCTAGTTGCACTCGGTACACTGACACTGCAAAGCCACACTCACCTCACCAGCCTGTGTAAAAGTCAGACTATACTAAACCACACACATACGCCATGGGATTTAAACAGAACCGCTATAGACTTTGACAGAAGTGACATTTTTTCTACTGACCTCCCCCGCCCATCCACCAGTGACGAGGCACAGGGGACTAACAGAGAGGATGATGAGATTGGGGAGTCAGGAGGACAACAGAGTTACGGAGAAGTGTCTCCATCCCTCAGGTTGGCGTCATTGATCAGCTTGCTGGTGTACGTGGCAGCCTTCTCCATTAGCCTCGGGCCAAGTAAGGATCAATTCATTCACTTTTATTCACCCACTCTCTTTACACACACATGCACACAAATTAAAAACCTGCAGCTGCTGACCTGCAATGTATTTACCTCAGGCTGTTTATCTGAAATGTAACTGAAAGAATGATTGCATATCTGCATTTCAGTGTGCTCAGATTACCAGAGTACACCAGGTCATTTCTATCCACAATATACAACAGCAGCTATATATCCATATGCACTCACAGGCACTTATTTAAGATAATTTATCTCGTTTATCTGGTTCTAATAGTGTGACACACGGTACTATTAAGTACAAAGTACAACAATGGTTATCATACAATAACTAGGCATTAGGTAAAGTATAGAATGAAATGATCCAGTTCCCCAGATAAAGCACTGACTTTAACCGCTTCGCCTCCACCTCTCCCTACCATAGATTTTTATTTTAGGGGAGGACAGGGGCTCTTTAGGGGATACAGCAGGTGAACAGTATATGCCACATAGAAGGGATATACATCATCTGAAAGCTGGGAACCTGAAGATTAATTTGAGATTTGTGTGTAAAATATTTGTAGTCATACACCTTTATTAAACATTGTGTTTTGGTTAGGCGCCTTATTAAAATTGAGAAAGATTAGAGCATATGAGGGCTAAGAACATTATGTTATAATTGTATGATGGCCATTCCCATGCTTTATTATGTCGTATAAGTTGTTGCAGGGGCTTTTGCAGTCATTTTTGGGTTGATATCATTTGTTATCAAATTTGGTGCAAAATCTAACCATTTTCAACCCCTCAAATTTATTTTCAAAAATGTTCAGAAATCCCTCCAAAATACTGTATTAAGTCATCAAGACCTTGGGGAACACCATAAAAACCATTATGTGTTTTGGTATCAAAACCTTTTTTTCACAGTTTTATGAGACTGTGACTTTTCATACAGTGAGGCCACCATGGGGACTAACATCATCACACATGAATAAAATTGGGTTCATTGAATCCACAAAAATCTCAACTTTCAGTCATACGCCAACTTCAAAAAATTCGAATACTGTTTAGGGACCGGTATGCAGAAATATTCAAATAACATTTTCAATAACACATTTATACTGCATGCAAAAAAAACTGCACGTTTTTTCCCAAAACTGCATGGGATTAGCATAAAGTGGGCATGGCTTTAAGTGGCTTCCCGTAGAACTAATTTTCATTCAGATATCTTGAGTTCAGAGGTCAAAAGAGGACCCCTTTGAAAAGGAATGTGCCAGTTTTTCCCTCGTTATTTAGCGCCCTTCCCAACAAGATAACGTGACATGGTCGAATTTCATATATATTCACTTCAGTTGAAGAGGTTAAAGCTGGCCTACAATTCTCCATACAAAATAACAGTATACCGTTATTCTGGATCATGTTATTTGTATTTAGGCCTTAATGATAATGACCACTTACGTCCTTGTACGTGTGTTTGTTTTCTTTCCTTTCCAGTGGTGTATGTGGTTCTCAGTGAGATCTTTCCAATGGGAGTCAGAGGCAGGGCTGTGTCTGTAGTGTCGGCTGTAAACTGGGCCACTAACCTGCTCATCTCCATGACCTTCCTCACAGTTACAGGTGTGTGTGTGTGTGTGTGTTTTATTGGTTTTAATCATTGACAGTATATATAAGGTTCTAATTGATTAATCATAGGTTTGACCTAATGTGGTAAAGCTATAATTTAACTGAAGCCATTCTACAAACAATAATTACAAACCACGACACAGCTTAATGCGTACCTACAAACAGGTAAAGAAAGATAAACATCTGTAATGTTTCTAACAGCAACAAGGAAACTCAGTACTATATAGAGCCAGAGAATTCATGCTAAACACGTTTCACTCGTTGACTTCCTAAAAGCGGTGTGTCTCACATTGTTCCTTCTACTAGGCAGACTGTCCAACTGTTGTGAAGTTATCTTACTATAGGATTAGGAAAACAGGAAGACTACACCTAAAACAGTTAGGCACTATTTAAATTCAGAATCTTTGTAATTTATCTTATCTATTATCTTAACTCCAAGTCAGTGTCAGGACCTGATTTACATAGTTTGCAAATAATTGTCTATCATCTAAACTTCAGCAACTGTAGCAGAGCAAAAAAAAACAAACAAACAAACACACAAGTATCCTGACTGAGGTTATGTTGTTGTTTTTCTAGAAAAGATTGGTGTTCCCAACGTGATGTTCCTCTACGCTGCCATGAGCTTTGTTCTACTGGTGTTTGTCATCCTCTGTGTTCCTGAGACCAAAGGTCGCACGCTGGAGGAGATATCCAAAGAGCTGGCTAAGAAGTGAGCGGCAGCTTACATGTAAACTTACTGTTATAACCAGTTTGTATAGTAAACTAGTTTGTGAAATGGATTTCTTTATCTTCCGTCTCTCCTGTCTGTGCTTTACCAGGAAGCATTTTGAGGTGAGGCTCTGTAGGCAGGTTCAGCCTCAGGAGAGCCTGATCAGCAGCAGCACGTCCACAGAGACTCCAGCAAACGTCTGATTCCTTTAACAGACCACAACTGTACACCTCACATGATGGAGAGTCAAGAGCAAGGACCCATAATGACAATATATTAGCACGAATGTGGGTGACAACTCTCTCAACATCTCACGCATATCTGTTCATCCTCCAACTGCTTCCTATAATAATGTTGTATAGCTCCCTTTAGCTACATTCTGTATATAACAGAAGAAAACAGCTCAGGGTTCACTGTTGCTTGTCGAAGGCAGTAAAGAAGGGTCAACAACAGGGATTGAATATGTGATTATATAATATATATGTATAATATTTATTTAATTCCTTCCTTTCTTTACCTCTTTGCTGTTTAAGAGTACACCTCCCACAATGCAGAGAGGGACAGTTTCCCTTAACTCCAGGAAATAGATTCTCCACCAGCAATAAAACTGACGAAGAGTGCTGACACTGTTCTATTACAGGTTTTTTTTCCATTTTTACCTGATATTGTGATGAACATTTACAAAGGATTGCCTCTTTTGGATAATCATGGGGAAATCAAAGATGAACTAAAAACACTGTGTATATAACATTTGGTTCTTTGCTGGATTGCGAATTAATTCCTAAAACATGACATGATGCGTATGCAGCTCCCTGATGAATGTAATGTAATAACACTAACATGGCTCAAAGAAGTCATAGCAGTTACAACATGGTACGCAGAAATATGAATGGTTACAGTGGCCTTAGGAAGAGGAAGGTGTCTTATCCTTTACATTTTATGGGGTGAAACAATCAAGAAAAAGATAAACACACTCAACTCCACTATGCTGCTGAATCCTCAAAAACAAGCAACAGAGAAAAAGACTAAACTCATCAGGTCTAGTGGTAATATCAGGGTAAATAATATAACAACTAGGATTGTTGTAGTGTAAGAAAGTGTGAAGTGATGAACGAATGTTTTTTTTTTAACTTGTTTCAGTAATGCCAAAATTATACTTAGTTGATTAACAAGTTGAATGTACAAATGCAAGAAAGAATAACTTCCTGTTCACAATTAAAATTGCACATTTTTAAGTCTACATTGATACACATTATCTTTTTTCATGTCGGAAAATGTATGGACGTATTTGCAAAGACGTTCTACTGAAACTGCTTCACAAACAGAAAAGGAAATCATGAAAATGAGATAAGCCCTGCAGCGGTCTCTTTTATCATTAACCTTTATTTTTATACAAAATACAAAATTCTTAACAAGTGTCACAAATCTTCAGTTGACACCGGTTCAAAAGTCAATCCCACATACTTGAGACAACATGTCAAAGTTTTCCTCATCATCTTTTCCATCAGATGCCTTTTATTATATACATAAATATACGTTGCCTCTCGCCAGGTGTTTGGCTCCAGTTTAAAAACACAAAAGCCTCTCACTGTTGTTTTTCTGTTAAGAGAATGGTATTCTACGACAGGTTTGTTTTTCAGACAATTTAGGGACTGGTTAATGCTGTAAGCATGACCTCTTTGAATACTGATCATGGTTTGACGCATGAATGTATCACCAAACCAAACTTGGAGTGACTTCCTGTGCCTTTACAGCAATTTCCAAGACCAATAGCGGGCAGTCCTTTTATCATTTTTTATTCCTCCAGCCGCTAAAAAGCAAATGATGAATTTCTAGCCATGTCTCGTTGCCACTAGCCTGCGCCAATTTAGCAGTTGTGTCAAGTGAAAATGAATGAGGGGTCTATGGCTCAACAACACCGGAAAAATAAAACACCCTTTCAAACGTTTTCATTACATTCCAAAACATTTAGGACAGTCATGTTCTGTACATTGTCCGAGCCAAGAAAAAACAATTATATTTGCAAGTTTGCCTTAACTATTATTAGGAAATGACAACAAAGGAATCAAAACGTGTGTGTGCATTCTGATCCAATGCCACAGTCGGGAAAGGAGAACAAATTTATAGTGAACTGAAAACCAAACAAAGTAAGGAAATGTGTGAAACCAAGAATTAAAATCAGAGATTAATGCATATTGTGAACGGATATGTGTATCTGCATAGGGACCTTCTCTTACTTTGTGTGTGTGTGTGTGTGTAACAGCTTAAACTCAGTCTATGGTTTGACTGCTGATTTTCACTTTGGGCAAAACTGTTGGTAATACAGTGGATGCCTTTTATTTTGCGTTCACACACATAAAAAAAAGTCATGGACGGAGATTCTTCCAGAGGACGGAGGGATGGTGGATTGTTGTGTATAGGGTTAAAAAGGTGAGGCTTCTCAGTATTTACATATTGAACCTTTGCAAAGGTCACCACTGTTGAGCATTAAAATGGTTAAACTTGTTGCAAAACGGGTCTTTCTGTGTCCATGCAAATAAAAAGCAAACAACTTCCACCCCCTCCAGTGGCGGTCGGGTTTGGAGGAGCGGTTTCCGCTGAAGTGTGAAAGACGTTTAGGCTGTTAAAATCACGAGAGCCACACAATGCACAACAACAATGAAAGAAGAAGAAGTTTTAAGACTCCGACTAGCATTGTTGAGACTTATTAAAAATCCGGGTGATTTCCAGTCTGTTGATAGTGTTAGACGTTTGTTGCTGTTGCTATCATGTAATGATAAAATCAAGCAAAGAAATCCAAGGATAAGGTGCTTCCTCACTTGTGGACGTGACTTCTCCTTCCATTTATATCTTCTGACTTTAACTTTTTTCTTTTTTTTTGAGGGGTTTCTGAACCTCGAACAGTAGTGGGTAGACCTGCTCAACAGCTGTGGCCACATTCTGCACATTTGGTCCTGAATGGTAGGGTGGGGTGGGGGGGTTGGAGGTGGGGTTAAAACAAAAGAACAAGTTTTGAGTACAATAAAAAACAGGAAAGGCAATTAACCCCACATACGGATAAACAGAGAATCGCAGGTAGCATAACAACAGAGAGAAAATGATTTACTCCTTGTTTGGGGCAAGTTCAGCCTAATGCATGGTATGACATACAAAGAGGGCATAAACTATTTCACTCACAGTAAAATTCCTTGAGGAATTGGGTTATTTACAAACCGCTTTTCTGGTTGTAACGGACTATAAAAGTGCTTTACAATGTGACCTCAATCCCTTAAGCTGGGGCGCCCTCTCCCTGTATGTAAAGGAGGGCGAGAGAGGTTAGTGTCTGTGTGTGTGTGTGTGTGTGTGTGTGTAAACATGGATGTGTGAGGTACCTGTAACTGTGATGCTGCCAGTAGAGAACACCTGTATTGTAGCCTTGAGATGTTTGATCCTGTACGTGGCAGCTGGATGGAGCTCTGGTTCATAACTGACAAACACAAACACATTGTTCAGTATTGTGTCCACTAAAGGCTCTCAGCACACACATCTAACAACTAGTTCATACACAGCTTTGAGGCTGTCTCACAGGATGCTATTTGCCAGTACTCCGTATGTTCTTATATAAACAAGTGAATCAGCGTCTGACTACTCCACCGCCTTCTGTCTGCTTGCTTTACAGTAGTGCCAAATGCACTCTAAAGCACTGACCAGAGGTTCCACCACTAGGGGTCATCCTGTCCATGTAAATATGGAACCACTAAAAGTAAAAGACATTTTAAAAAGCTATTTAGCCTACTTCATAATACATGTAGTGAGGGGTCTCAAGTAAAAGTAAATCAAAATAAATGCCTATGCCAGTGAATTATGATCATACAACATAAGAGATCCTAGACTGATATGTGAGGGGTAAGGGCTGCTACAGGATGCAGCAAAATCAGAAACATGTTTAACTAGTGTGATGATAGTGGTTGTGGTGCACAGTACTTTATTACCTGGCAATGGGTCGGTTGTTCTTAGTGAAGTCTATGAGGTGGATTGCAAATGGCATGGAGCACACTGCCAGCACATTCACAACTTTGAAGGCTGAAAACCTCACCTGAACAGACAACACACACCGGCACAGACACATGTATGAATGCAGTTACACACTTTCACATTAAAACATGAAGCTCTTTTTCTTTCAGCCTTAGTGTTGGCAAGTAAAGCTATGGGCTAGCCTCATCTGACATCTGCAGTCACCCCAGGTTTAGCAGAAATAGCGTCGACAAGTGGTTTGCTAGGTAAAACTTTAACCCAAACAAATAAAAATATAAGGCAGATATTTGGATTGCAGATTTATTGTGTGTGAGGTTCACCCTGCAGGTTGACCTGGTTGCATGCCGCTGTTTTGATCTAGCTAAAGCAAATGAAGTCAAAAGACATGGAGTTGTGTACACAGTCTAATGAAGCATAAAGTTCTTCTTTCTTTCTTTCTTTCTTTCTTTCTAGACCTGTGCCTCCTTGGCACAAAAAAGAAGATATATACTTTATTAATCCCCTATTGAAGAAAATCTAAAGGGGCTCTTATTATGCTAATCTTCAGGCATATTAGCCAAACCTATGAACAGGATTGTAAACACTCACCTAAAATCTACTGACACATCACATGCTTGCTTAAAGGACTATTAACAATATTTATAGATTATTACAATCACATTTTTTATTAACATAGGTTTGAAATGCAGTGCAATAACTCCTTCAGATTTCTCCACAAAATTATCTGAAAAGCAATACCTCACCAGATATTAAGATAAACTCTAAATCTGCATTAAAAAGTTACCTAGTTAGCAAGTTATCTGCACATTTTTTCAAAAATAAACAACCTGGTTTCTGTTATACTGCTGTTAACCAACAACCAAGAGATTATTCTCACCTTGAAGCCCAGTTTCTGCAGAACACGTGCTAACCTGCGAGCACCCAGCTTTGCATCATCCTCACTGAACAAAAAGGAGAGCAGGATGAGTGCCAGGTTTGTGGTAGCTGACTTACCAAAACTGATAATGACTTGCTCTAATGTCAGCATTGTATCTTTGACAGGTGAGACAAATGGTAATGCATTATTGCCAGTTGATGTGGGATGTTGCTCATTAACGTGAAGCCACCATTACTACACCACAAATAGAGAGGCGAGACAGCCAAGGCCATCAGCAGCAAACATTTCTGTCACCAGAGAAAATGAATGGCCCTTTGGCAAACAGCAGCTCCATTTGTTATGTGCAGTGGCTCTTCTTGACACGTCTTCCAGTTAGTTACTCGTTAGTGTGAGCGTGTGTGTTTCATGTGCTACATATCTACCTTGTTGCTCCAGTGCAAATGATTTTCCCTGAGGACCAGATTGAGGCTGTAATCTTGGGCTTACGAAGCTTCATTAGGACTTTCTAAGAAGAAGAAAAGCAGTCAAACATGGCCCATATCATAAACCCTTGATAATCCTGTACATATGAGTGTATATTTTTTTTTATCTTGGCAAATCCATCTCCCTCTTCAATAGTCTTTGACTTCCTTACCCCTACTTCAGGCTTATAGATGACATTGGTTCCCTCTAAGGCAATGGTGCGCAGGTTGAGGTGGCACCTGGTCCTGAAGGTTGCCACCACATTGGTGATAATGATATCAAGTGCCTCGTCATTGCTGGAATCCATGAGGAAGTGTGCGGTGCAGCAAGAGGACCACGGGGGCTTTCCGCTCACACGTTCATCATCAACGCCACCAGCACCACCATTTTACGGACGGACAAGGAGACAAGATGAGCTGGAAAGTGAAAAAAAAAAAGGCCAATGGTTTAATTACTATTTTGAATTAGAAAATATAAATGTTGGTTTACGACAAACAATCTTTATTGTGATTAAATATTTTTCACACATACACAAACACTATGTAATGTAATGTAAACTATGAGGAACTTGACTTGGTTTTTACCGCTGCTTTCAATTTACATACACAGAATAAGCATAAATAAACAGAACAAGCTCAACAAAATAAACCTCTATATACAGTTATACATATATATAAGCAGATTAAAAAAAAACAATATGGTTTGTAGACAGTAAACAATAATGCAATGGTGCAAAGAGCATATGAATCACACATTTCAAACATATTCAAAAAACAAAAAAAACAAATCCAATGAGCTCATTGCACATACAGTACAGTCGACTATGTTTAAGTTCTGATCGTGTTACCTCAGTGGCAGCACCTACTCATCTGATTCACAGCTATGTGGTTCCTCCTGCTGCTAGATCTTCTGAGCTATAGGAGAGCGATTCAAAGCACAAACCACACAGTCATCTGCAAGACATTAAAGCAGCACTTTAAACATCTCAGAAAAGTATCATTTTTTCATGTAACGTTAGCCTAAGCTTTTTTTTAGTCATGTAATAATTATCGCTAGCCTACCTGCTAATGACACAGCCTGATACGGTAGCTACTCTGCTGCTACCGTTATTAAACTCGTAGCAATATAGTAAAGGAAATCAATTCACTGGAGGCTGAAGGAGACATATAACGCATTTATCACTTAAATCTGTGAAAGCAGCGTTGTATCTCCAATGTAAGGCTTATTGTCGCTGCAGCTCATGCATCACCCCAGGTTGTATTGCATAGTAACGAACTGATAAGCTTGTTTGGGGAAATGATGCTAGCTAATCTCCCCAGCCTAACAAGCCGGCTGTCAACTATTCACCGCAGACTAACGTTAATCCACCATTATTTACATATACTAACGTGTTTTTTGTGGCCACAACTCCAGTGAAATAAACAACGAAGTGAAAACCACAGTAGCGATACATCACTACTGCCCGGCTAATGTTGTGAGGAGGGCTAACTACCCGTGAGCTAGCAACAAAGAAAAGTGCACAAGCAGTAATGAATGAAAAGTTGTTAGCTGAGCTAGCTTGCAGGCTAGCTGTGTCTCGTTACAGTGAGGACGAGCTCGTCCCGCTGCTTCCAGCTGGGTTTGCGTGTTAATGGCAAATGTGTGAGTCTGAAATGTTTGCTTTAATTCTTTAGCTACCTCTTCAGTTCGCTCACTGCTGCATAAACACTCCGGGCAACGGTAAAAACACAAATGTGGACAGACTCCTTCCTCCGCCGACAATGAGCAGTAGTAAGCCACTTTCCGGTTCCAGCCTTCAAAATAAAACTAGGTGACCTAGTGAACTTCAAAATGACAACAACTTCCGGTTACAAACCTTTCAAAATACAACGATAAAATAAACATTACTTTGAACAGCCAACACGTTTTACCTCTTTACACTACAACTATACACCCCGATATATAGCTGCAAAACAGGAGCTTTGCCCATGTGCAACTTGCTGCACTGATTCATGTGTTATTCTGTTTTGTGGAATTCTACTGTTTTTTCTCTTGTTCATAGTGTTTATATTATATTATAGTATTTCCATACTCTTACTGTTTTTATACTGTTTTTTTTTCTCTATACACTTTGCTGCTGTAAAATTTGAATTTCCCCATTGTGGCACAAATAAAGGAATAACTTAAACCTCTTAATCTTGAACAACAAACATAGGCTACAGATGGAGTTCCTGGAGTTAAGGTGTCCCAGGTGCATGGTGTGGTAAAATAATAATAATATTAGTTAGACAGACATAAATATATGTAAAGGCTAAATTACAAACAATAAAAACAGGAAAGAAAGAAAAAACATAGTCAAGTCCTGCAATGATCTGCAGGGCATATTTGGTGGCCTACAGATCATTGCAAGACTTTGTTCCATTTTTATGTGTTAATATAATTCCTTTCCATATCAGGGTACCCAACAAAACTAATATCATTTAACCAACAGGGTAAAAGTTCCCTTTCTTCAGATGATATTTAATGAACTGCAATAAAGCCCGTGGAAGTGCTTTAATAATTATATTGAATGGCAAAGAAATATTAATTATATAGTTAATCATGATTTTGTTCACATGACAAAATAACACCCAAATCCAGACCTGTATAAGCAGACACATGTATATTGTCAAATAGATCAACATGATTAAATAGTTCTGTCTGCCTACACAAATACTTGACTTGAACAGTAACCAGTAAGTTGGTCTAAAGTTTGTATCTTGCGCCACCATGTGGATAATGAGGGTTGTCTGGTTGGAAAAAAAACCTTTAATTTTGACATCATTTGAAAAGCTCAAGTTTTCTACACCATATCTCACACAATGCGCTAATAACTGAATGCCATTGAAAAAGAGTTTTGAATGAATTTATAGTCATTAAAAGTTGTAATTTGCTAATCCAAGCAAGGGTTAAAATGCTCATTGACTCCAGCCAAATTCTGTGTCCACAAATTTGTCTTTGTAATCATCTACGTCTGCCAATATTACACTTAACAGGCTTATGTTAACACCATTTCCAGATAACAATGTGAAGCCTTTTTTCAGTGTTTATGGTGTATTGACATTTAAGCTATGTGGATTAGAACATCTCCAAAGCAAAATGAGCACATCTGGTCAGTAAATGCTCCTCAGGGAATTCTGGAAAAGCTACAAAAGAGAAGAAGGAGTAAAGTTTGGAGGCGGCCGGGAATGTTTGTGTTATCAATGAGAGAATTCACAGCCGCTCTCGTGGCTCATGAATGAATTTAGTGAATGGATGCTGTCCTGAAGTTTCTGTGCACTGTCGCATCCTGCCCTTACGCAGACTGATCATGGTTATATTATTATGTTTACTTACTTTCTTGAGCTTATTTGACTACTTTGTGTAACTTTGCACAAAACTGCATGAAAGGTAAACTGATAAGAATGACATAATCTTTATGAGATAAAGTTAGTAAGTAAACAAAGATTTGAATTTGTGTGAGTCTCTGTGTGTATGTGCACACAGGCATGTGTATTTGCTTATCTGTGTTAATATCCATGACTTATTGCTTGCTTATGCACATTTGTGCATTGTGTCCTGTAACCCGGCTATTCTGCTCAGTGCACTGCAAACACTTCTCCCGCCTGGCCTGCGCCCAAACAAAACAGAAAAATAACTTCTTTATGATTCAGCCTTGTTGTTATTGTTCTTCCTCCCTGGTTACCAAATTGTCTCTTTTCCCTCTCATTTAATCCTCCTGGGCTTCTCCTGGTGAAATATAGCCTGGTGATTCACATCTATTCTGCACAAGAGCCTTGTTCAGCTGTCCCAAGATGTTTACTATAAAGGTTTAGATTTAGAGCAGGTTAAGCAAGTCAGACCACTAGCATTGATAGTGTGCGTGTGTTTGTGTGCGCTGTGAGATGGCTGACGCAGGGCGCGGGAGTATGTTTACAGTTTGTTGGAGCTGCACATCACTGGGGTAGTCTCTTCCCAGGGGAACAATGCTCTTTTTCTCATTAGGTCATAAGATGCAGCATGTAAACACACAGATGTGAGCACTTACTGCTTAATAGATGCAGATATGTCTAAGAATAAATAGACGGTCCATCACTGTAACTACTCTGTTTGTGTGTCAAAGAGAGAGTGACTGAGGGAAAGTGAGGGATAAATCATTTTTTCATGCTTCTGGGAATATTTGTGTTGTTTGTGTGTATATGTATGTGTGTGTAACAACAGTTTTGATCTCTGAGTTGTGGTTGATCGGCTTTTGGCTAACTTAATAGTTTTACATTTACACCTATCAAATATGACACAGAAATAATGAATGCATTAAAGTGTTTGCTACTGGGTGGAGCAATATTATCAACCTGTAAGGGTGAAGGGAGGCTGTATATCCATGCATTTGCAGGCCCCCAAGAGGTGTGTCTTCTTCTGAATGTCTGAATGATCTGGACAGTTTGGTATTCTTATGACAAGGTCACATAATCTTCTCAAAAATATCAAATAAAGAAAGAAGGACTTTAAACACAGAATGTGAAAATGACATTTCTTTCAAAAACTTGAGCTGTCCGTGTCAGCAGATGCATCTTTGCAGAGATGGTCTGCTGGGGTGACCTCACTGTTGCCTGTAAACTAGACGTGTTTGTCAGGACCCCAGTGTTCTGTTTATGTTGGGCGTACATCACAGGCCTATTTCAAAAGGACTTAGAGAGCGAAGTTAAAGCTTTTGAGAGTCTTTGCGGTAGTGTTGTAAAACTGAGTTCAGCACTGGTTTGACGGGTTTGTGGGAACTCTTTGTCAGATGGCTAAAGCTTTACCAGTTTGAGTTTTTTCAGCAGGGATAGAAAAGAATGGGGAAAGAAGAAGTCTGTTGGGATCCAGCGACAAGACTAAAAATGAAAAAATAAAAGGAGAAAAAGATAAAAATATAGGGAAGAAGATGAGACAGCAGGATAAATGTATTTGTACATGCCTTAAAGATGCATGTCTGCGTTCCTGCATTGATGCACATGTACTGTATCTGCATCCTCATGTAGTGTGTACTTGTGAGTAAGTGTTTCTGTATAAGACAGAGATGAATTGTGTGTGAGTTTGCCGTGCGGAGGGAATCCAGTGCTCTGGTAGTGCTGCTCTGGGGTCTCCCAGTGTAAACAGAGACGTGGGAACGACCAAGCCTGTTTATATCTGCTCCATTCTTACTGGGCCCAGTCAGCCAGGCATCAGGGGCACGGCCAACACACCGGTTTCATGTGCGTATACAGAAGTCTATGTAAGCAGGTTTGTTTATATTTGCATTCCAAAAATCCTAGATTCGGCAAGTGATGTTTGTGTGGATTGTGTTTGATTCGTTTTTCTTGATGTAAGAGAAAATGACTTATTCATCAAAACAGGGATGTAATGAGGAGTAAACCCTTCCAAATTCAGTTTGCCATTTAGTTATTTAGACTGATAAACTCTGATGTAATCTCTTTAATCTATAAAACAAAATTCATAGCACTTAACATGGAAAGTAGTTTCCTCAAATAGGATAAATTGTTTTATATAAAACAAACATAAATCTGCACATATCTGTACTTATGTTACATGTGTTCTTGATGTGAAATGTTATGATTTACCCAGGATTTCATTTACAATGCTCTAACCCTATCCTCAATAACAAAATATCACAGTTAATCAACTTATTCCCAGGTCATCAAATGCAGACGTCATCTGTGTTCAGTTAGTTGCAATCTGCAACTAGATGCCAGTAAGTCCTACACACTGATCCTTACTGTTGGAGTCTTATAATATAAAGTGCCAGAAGACCACACACTTTCACTCACCTAAATGCTATGTACACTATGGAGACAATGAAGGCCAAAAAACCTTTGACATTCAATCAAACAAAAAGAATAAAAAAGAAGTGAAATCTTCATAGTCGAGCTCAGACAGAGACAATCACTCCCAACACTCATCGTGCCAGATTTACTGGCCTAACATTAACACACCTGCACAAATGTTATGGAGTTCCCTGCTAAGCCATGTTTAGACTAGTTTTAGAAATGATGACACTGCTATGAGCATTATCTGGTGCAACTGTAGTCTGCAGAGAAAGCACCTGCTCTTTTCAGAAGAAGGGAATTGAAATAATGCAAGTCTCATAAAGGAGTCTCATATAGATACATATTATTCTAAATGGCAGAATGGCAGTCTGTAACTTGCTCTTTACTTTTTTGTTTTCATTATTCTCATACAAACCGATAAACTGATTTTTTTGCTGTTTTTATGCATATCTTTAATACTTTTTAATGAATTAGGTCTGATGTTTTGATTGCATTTCTGTCTAGCTGCCTCTTTAATTGGCAACATGACAAATGAGATCATTTTACTTGAGCTGAAGCTTCATTTACAGGTTAATAATCCCACCCCAAGTAAACCCATCATAAAAAACAAAACCAGGAATACCCCCAATCTTAAAATAATTTACCGTTTCTGAATATACCTATGATTTTCGGAAGAAGGGATTAGCAGCAATATAAATATATCATCCCTTTTCAATACAATTCAAGTATATGTAATGTTGTCTCAATCTGTTTACCCTCAATTTAAAAAAGGAAAAACTCAAAAAAGGCATGCACCTTACAAAATAGGGTGGACAGAAATGATATACATGATGAGAAAATCTTGAATAATAAATCTAATTTTTGTTGGTTATTGACAATAAATCAATCCCACTTTGAAAAGCTGCATAAAACCAATGCTTTTGGCATTACATGAAATATCTTTTTGTGACTGTTTTCTGACAGACATGAACAAACAATACATTTCT